AAGGTAACATTTCGGATTTCATAAACATCCTATATCTACGTACAAGCATCTGTAGCAGCGAACACAGCTTGATCCCGGAGTGTTTGGAGTACAGACCTTAAGATACACGGTTTCCGTGTACGGGGACGGGTAAATTAGCCGTACACGTTGCAGTAAATACGGGTAGATTGGCTCTTACCCTGGAGAAACGGGTAGGCTACCGGGTAGAATGGTTACACCATTATCACATCTGAGAAATCATGGTTTCCTTTTATAAAACTACGAGGTAAACATGTTCGCTTTCCCTTACCCGTAGGCTGAAACGGTGTACAGAAGCATTGCTTTTTTTGCGTCAGATTTTTCACATGGTAAGCTCTCGTTATTAGCAAGGTATGTCAGAAACACTCTCCCAGACAATTTAATAAGTGTCTTCGTGCACTAAAATCGAGAGAAAAGGAAGTCGAAAAAGGTTTCGTGATTCGGTAACTTAGCTTCCGTAATAGTCAAATAGTGCGGTTCGTTGAATGTTTTTATTATTAATATTTCGACATGTAAAGACGTTTCTCAAAGAACCGCTCGCTAAAATTATCGCACGATGTCGGTCAATCATGTCAGTTCCCGTTGGCTCCGACCATGCAGGATCTAGATATGTAAACTTATATCAAGAAATGAAACTGTGAAGATGTAAATGAATGTAATTCATGTTTAGGAAACTGGTCGTTTGCCTTATCCTCCTTGCCAGTTCTTGCGCCATCGGCGCCAAGGGCATCATGTAATTTGTATTGCTTTTGTTAAATCTGTAGTTCTTCTGTAGCACGCATCATAACCTTTTGGCCTTGCTACATAACTGCTCAGTCTTTGATGCTCGTATTAAGATAAAATTTGTGCGTCAGGAGAAATAACGCAAGGTAACGACACTATCACTACCCCAGTGTGTTACCCGGTTCCGGCCTCTTTCCATTGTAAACATTCATGCCCGAGTAAAGCGGAAAATTCCTGAATTTGTTTTAAAAATAGCACATTTATACACCTTGAAACTCCGTAAAGTCTGCAAGTTGCTCAGTTTCCGGCGATACCCCTTCGGCCTTACTATCAATATTTTTTCGTTTTCCTAGAAATCACGTGTTGGCTTCCGGGAATTGTTGATAATTACATTGATTGTTGTTGAGCTGCCAAACCGATTTTTTCTCTTCAGAAGTCTGATCTAGATAAGAATTTGGTTAACAGTAGAATTTGTTCAACGAGAGCGAAAAAGTACCTCACAATATTGAGGTCTTTCTAGTAGAGTGTTCTAATTTTGAAATTGTAGCGATCGATGCAGCGTTAGATTTTGGTTCGCTGTTTCGGCTTACGCCAATTCAATACTTAACTGATACTTGAATCGGCTGCATCCTAAGCACGACACTCGAGTCTTTTTTCAGCAACACGTAAAGGCACGTATTGGATGCAAAACTGTCCGGGTAGAACCTAATAACAACCATTTAGATAGTTATATACATACAGGCCTTTTTGGCAATGCTTAATAATACAGACATTTACCCGTCAATAATCAGTGAAGCATAGCATGACAAAACTTTGGCCCTTACGATAAGCTGATTGCATGACGCAGTGTCAATTCGGCTGAACCAACTACGATCGAAGACCAGAAATGCCCTGAAATGCATTATGAGCCGATAGATAAAGTTAATTCTGGACCTTTACGTAGTTTCTGAGTTGTGTGGGAGACTTATATGCTTGAGTATACTTGGCTACATTTTCGTAGTCATTCTTTTCTCGAGTGCGACCCCATTGGGATTCAAGCTCAGAAAGCTCGGATTAAAGGAGACTGATTCGTACCAAAGTTAGCAGAGGGAAGTAACTAACTACTAACTATGATAATGCAGATTGATTGTTCCAAAAGCTAACCATTTATCTAACTTGTAAGTCGGAAATCAAACAGAACGGAAAATTCTGGAAGAAAATGGCGTCTTTGTTATGTTCTGTGTAGCGTGCCCGATCACTTTTACGGTTATTTTGGGCCTGATTCCAGCTGGCAGTACGAAGGCTAATTTTTCTGCTGGGCGCATGGACTAACATTAAAACGTTTGTTGTGCGCTCCTGAAGGAGTTTAGATATTTTCTGAAGTAATTAATGTCATAAGACTCTGCTTTTACTGCAAATTTCCATAATCGTAAGTTATTTATCAGTTTGAGGGCACTAACAAAGGGTTTTTTCTTCAGTTCAAACCTGCGTTTTGGTGGATGTCAATCAACAGTTACCATGGTTTTTCACGCGTTGGCCAAGAGTCAGAGAAGATTCTTTCCCGTTTCTCAAGCACTCGGAAGAATATGACGGCGTTTAAGCCGTTTTTACAATATTTTGCTTTAGGATCTGACACTGCTTCATGTCAAGATTTATATTTGTTGATTGTTTGTCGGAGGAAAGCCAAATTATCGACATATTTACGCACTGTGAATTAAAACCACATAAGCTTTCTCGATATACGCTCGCAACTCGTCTGGCAATTCGTCCACGGCTGCCGTGTTTTGATACAATCAAATAGATAAACAACCTGAAAACCTTTACGTAAACTATAGAGAATGTTTTGGCTATTTCACTCAGCTCGCATACACCTCGTTGTTTTAATAATGTAATCCTTCATCTTATGAAATAATTAAAAATGCTGTTGTAATTCGAAAATTGAGTTTACGCAACATGACGGCAGGAAGAAGAGGACGGCAAAACGCTTGTGTGTGATTAACGTGACAGGGCTATACCTTGCGTGTTTTGCCGAGGTCTTCACTTAACATAAATGTTTTCTGGTCTTTTAGGAAAATATCTGTTTAAAGAAGAGTTAATTTCCGCTGAAAGTTTTTTTCAAACAAAATTATTGTCACGCTTGTCACACAGGGTTTGCTGTCTTCTTTCCTCTCCCGTCCTGACTAAGTTCATTATTATTCTTTAAGTCTGCGCCCTTCACGATGAGGGAACCTTCTCTGTCAGAGCGCGTGGAAAACCATGGGAACAATTGATTGACGTCCACGAAAGCTCAGGTTTAAACAGACAGAAAAAAACCCTTCGAGGACGCGTGTTCGTGGTAACCGCTCTAAAGTCTTATTGAGAATTTTGACTTGAATTAGCTGCTTAGAACTGCTTCTTTTATTCCATTTGAAACATTTTCAGTTTAACTTAGGTGTTATTTGAAAAAAAAAATAGTGGCCTTTTTTTCGTTAAACTGAGATGAGTTCTAAATGTTAAAAACTGTTATAAATACTGACAGTGTTTTCCGCCTTTGCCACGAAATGAGTCAACCAAAACTTAATGAGTGAACCCGTTGTTAGGTGGTTAGCCCATTTCACTTTGATTTTGCCTGATTTTTTCCCGGCCGAAACAAAAGCAAACAGGTAAGGGGGCGGGAGAAGAAAGAAAAAGGAGGTAAAAAGTAGTAGCCTTTCCAACACTTTTGACGATGAGTCAATTTTGGAACGGTTCAGTTGAAAGTTCTTATAGGAAAAGGCTGCGCTGCAATACAATTTTTTGGTGACAACGATAGCGAGACGGTCGAGACCGCATGTATTATTCTTTATATGGAAAAAGTATTAAATTTCCTGGTGTCAGACCACCGACATACGCACAACAGGGGCAACCAACGACCGTTTTCTGTTAAATAACTGTTCCGGGAAGCAAATACTACCTAGAATTTTCTGTTACTTGAGGACAGCTAAAATTCCTTTACCGTTCCATTCATGTACAATTTTCCGAAGCTTTTCTTACAAATTACGTACGATTTTAAGTTTAATTTTTCCCATTTCATTCCCATGTTAGGCTCTTTTTTTCGTAGAAAAAGGAAACCTAAAATTTTCGGATTCAAAAATGTGATGGAGAGAGAAATCAGAAAAAATTCTCACTTTCTTAGTGCGTTAAATTACATCTTAAATTTTCAGCCCGCGGAGATAATCATCTCGCAGAATAATGCTTTCAATTGCTCGGGACGGCGAAAGCACATGACAGATGACTAAGTTAATATTTCGCTTGAAGATCAAGGTTCAAATCTGTATTTTGGAGTAAATTGTAGCCCCCGTAATAATGTTCATCTGACGTGTATTTTTTCTGCTAGGTACAAAAGACAAATACTCAGATTTCAATAACAACAACGGCCACACTAACATAGGGTGGTCCGCCAGTGGTCTTAGGATAGAAAACTTATTAGCATGCACAAGCTTTCGATTCGGAATCTTAGCTTAATCAAGTGATGATGCGATGGAGTTAGACGTTTTGTCACGTGATTATGTTGTGAATCACGTGACAAAGCGTCCAGGTAGTCGGTAGTAGATCGCGGGGAGCTCCTAATCGGCTTTGAAATGTAATGTCGGTTCTTACTTTGAAGAGGGACGCCGGTTACTACTTCCCCGCGATATACCTCAACGTTTTGTCACGTGCTTCACAGTATAAACGACGTCACTTGACAAAACGTCCAGCTACATCACTTGAAAACGATTCCTTGATGGAATCGAAAGATTGTGTATGCTATTGAGATTTTATCCTTTAAGTTAAAAATACTTTTACTCTAAATATATTAAGACGGAATCCATCAGGAAATTGACTAATTTTAATTTTCAGTGGGCAAAAACCTTGTACCAAAATAATTTAAACAATATCGCATTCTTTTTTACAGTTTTTCAAGGGCTATAGATGTAATAAATTTCTTATGGGAGCCGGAGAAAACGAATGTCAAATTTCACAAAATGACATCTTACACATGAAATTTTCAGAATTTTACCTGTGTTTTCACAATTCTTGTGAAATTTGACGTTTGTTTTCTCGGGCTCCCAGGAGAAATGGTCTTTGGTGTTATTAGAGATAATTTATTATATCTATAGCCCTTGAAAAATGTAAAAAAGGATGCGGTATTGTTTAAATTTTTCTGGTACAAGGTTTTTTCCAATGAAAGTTGAAATTACTCAATTTCCTGATGGGTTCCGCCTTTATTCTGTTTTCTCGCTTTTAAATTTAACAGATTTTCTGCAGGCTCCGTATTCTACATGGCAACACCAAGTGTAACATCCACCAAAGAGTCAACCAATTATGCTCGGTTGTGTCGCCTTCTTATAGATGTTGGTTCCCAGGCTCTAAGAGACACTTTTGATGGGTTTTACTCTCCAGGAAACCTTCACACTTTTTTGAGTAGTACCTCGGTTCAGTCTAAACTAAAATCCCTGAGAGGAAAGAAAATCCTCAATCCAACACAATGGAGTAAATTGTTCCCCGCTGTGCCCACCACTGTAACTTCTGCTAGTTTTGACATCACTCTTTTAAGCGTTCTCCTGAGAAACATTTGTGGCTTGAGTCCTCCTGCATCAACAGCATCATGGGACAAACTTCCCCCACCAACAGATACATGTCGTGAAGCTGACCTTGTTCGAATAAAACATTTTCGAAATACCGTTTATGGACATGCTGAGAAGGCCTCTGTCGACGACGTTACATTCAATGGTCTCTGGCATGACATTGAGAGTGCGATGGTCAGATTAGGAGGACCACCTTATGCAGCTGCTATTGCCAACCTTAAGGGCGAATGTATGGACCCTGATATCGAAGAACATTATAAAGAGGTTCTTTTGATGTGGAAGAAGGATGAGGACAACATTAAAAACAAGATCGAAGAGCTAGATAAGAAATTTGAAGACTTCATGAAGTCGTCAGTTGAAGAAAGTGGTAAGTCTTTTCTAAACCCAGGGACAGTACAATGTAAAATAAAATAATGGTGAAGATGACGACGGCAATGATGAAGATGACGACTCAAGAAAATTAAGGCATGGGTCATCTATTTAATTCCTCAACACAGGGGGTGCGGGGGGTGGTCTAACGTTTTAAACTTTCATTGAAACGCAAAATCACTTAAGGACAGACTTCCTGGGTATAAGTTCAATATTTTTGAATGACTATTGGAGACATTAATTGTCATGTGGCCTCTTAAAGCTATTGTTAGCTCAAAAATCTATTGGGCAGTATGGAGCCACTTTTCATTACTTTCTGGAAGTTGCAGTTATCGTCTTAGTAATGAGATTAGGAGGTTACGTTACATCATTTCTGTGGCCGCGCCTTTTAAGTTAATCCTTTAGACAGGAACGAAATTTGAAAATCGTTTGATAAGGGGACTGGGTACTAGTACAAAATACTGTTTATTTACACTTTCATAAATTATTCAACAAAGCCCGGGAACAGATGTCTAATGAACATCTAGGGACATGTTTGGTTGCAATTTCTCTGAGGGAAATTTGTCACTGTGGTCTGTGAAAGGACCTGAAAGATCTAATAAGCGCATTTTATGGCTGTGAAAAACATTAGAAAGCATTCTGGTGTAGTTATTTATTCATCTTTAAAATACATTTACAGCATTTAAAAAAGGATGCAGCTTTCTAACCTAGGATACGAAAGGGGTACCTTTTCCATAAAAAAATAATGTTGGGTACTCAACCCAGCGGGTGCGGAAACGGGATTTACCAGTGGTTGGCCTGTGTCGAAAAGTTAGCCAATGGAAGTGCACGCTTTTGAGAACAAATCCAGTTATATAATAAATGTGAATATTTCCGTGTCTTTTGAAATGGTCCGTGGTGGATTTAATGACAGTTTATTTCATTTGTAAAAGGGAAACTCAGGGATGAGGTCAACAAGAAACTGGACTTTTTGACTAAGAGAGGTAAGATATACACAACCAAAACACAACAAAACCATCAATCGTTTCCTCAATAGTGGTAGAGCTTAATAAACATCGCATCCAAAAGCGATGCGATGAAAAAAGTGTGAGAAAATACATTGATTGATAATTAGCACGGATTTAGATGCTTCTGAATTTCTTGAGCCGAACAGAGTCTTAAGGAATTAACTGTATCACAACTATGTCGCCAGTGCTTATATAGAAATCGAGCTGTCACAATTCTGGCTTCATAATAATGGTGATGGAAATAAATCAGCCTCCTTTAGACTGAGAAACAGAATCTAAGATTTGCAAAAAAATACAGAATTAACCAGAGGTGACGTTTCTGAATGTGAGAGGCCTTGGTGTGTTCAGGATCGCGGTTTAAAAATGTCAACAAATAAGAGAAATTCAAGGGCGAGGTCAACAAGAAACTGGACTAAAATCTATTTCAGATTTATTCAAGGTATTATTTCTGTGCATCTTATAGATAGGTCAGTCGTCTAAACATAAGGCTGTTATTTTTATGGCTCCAGTGCTAATTGACAGAGCCCGGTTACCCTCTGCAAGCCAGCTCTCTCAATAAGCTGAGCTATAAACCCTACTTCGGAAGGTAACTTATGTCTCTGGAATGAAAATTAAACACCAAAAGTTTAATCTTTGACACAGTAATATTTCGATGTTACCTTGTTTATAATTAGTTGTCATCGTAGTTCATTATAAATTCAAAGAGTTTTCAAATTTCGGCTTGCAACTGACAATAGACTATGTAAATCATTTTCAATGATAAGGCTTCTCTTGACCACTCTCGAAGTAAAAGGCGAACACACTGTTTGGTTATAATGGTCATATGCTAGTTTATCTCACATTTGCATGGAGCTTGTTTTCTTTTGCTTTTTATTTTCTTGACAGAAATAAACAGAGACAACCGCAGAAGTGAGCTGCCAGAAGAAGTACCCAACGTACATGGACACGAAAAAGAAGTTGATGACATCGTTCAAGTTCTCTGCGGAGAGAGAAAAACGACAGCAGCCGGAGTCCTTGTTAGTGGAATAGCTGGGATAGGAAAGTCCACGGTTGCCATTCAAGCTGGGCATCGGCTTAAAAACGAATTTGAAACCATCAATGAGGGACAAAAGTGTTGACACACTTCCGTAAAATGGCCCCTTTTTGCATAGTGGATATACTTATCCCCTTCCCCTGTCTTCCCCAACCCCTTCCCCCCAAAATCAATGTTGAATTTTGGACCCTCAAGTCTTTTTTTTACTTCAGACAACATTGATTCGGGGGGTCGGGGGATTTACGGCGTTTAAAAGGAATGAAATAATAAATGAATTAAATGTTTGTTAAAAGCACCCGTTTTAAACAAGTGTGTCAACTACTTTTGTCCCTGATTGTCTGAAATATGTATCTGTGTTTTCCGGCTAGATTTCGGACGCTGCTGAATTTTTGTGCGATGACGTTACTCTATGGACCAAATTGTTTGTTTATAAACAACAATTTGAAAAGTTTGGTCCTGATTTGTAGTATACGTAGAGTAAAATGTACGAAGCGTATGTCATTACTTAATCTTGTACTCCCGCGCGCGTTCCTGATACCCTGTCGGGTCGAGAGGAAATCATTAGTGTTGTGATCAATGCCGCTGCTGCAGATATCATTTTTTTACAAGCATTATCAATAGTGGAAAAAGGATGGAAACACTAAGGTACAATGAAAATTGTTCTGGTAAATGGTTAACTGAAGCGAATGAAGTACTGCAACATGCATTATTGTTTACATTGACTTTTGCCATTAGTGAAAGGACGTGAACAATATACAGGTTATGAACCTCATAAATGATGAGCCAGTCGTTTGTGCTATGCCCTATAAATAGATGATTTTTTTGGGGAGACCTTTTCAAATCTAGCAGATCCAAACCTTTAGCGTGTGTAGGCGTCGAACAGGTTAGACCAGGTTAGGAATGTACTTTTGTAATGATTTTAGATGACCGCCTGCCATTTATTCAGTGGCATTTTTTTTATTGGTGTTGGGTGGACAACTATTTCATTTCCCAGCTCGTAAATCACAGAATACCAAAGAAATTGTTTTCAAGATAGACACACCAGTTTGTATCATCGCCAAAACAGCAATTACTTTGGCCCAGAAGTTCACTTGATGACAAGGAAAGCGGGATAACACGTGATCGATGACGGCCGTGCTCTGGAAAATCTTTCTTTTTTATGCGCTAATTCCTCACAAAAGGCAAAAGAAGATTCCGCTATGTAGAAAGTGCTTCGCAATACGTATTCTTGGCGAGAAAAATTCCAGCGATGTGGTGCAAATAAGGAGTTTCAACGGTTAACCACGAGAATACATATCGACATTAAGAGGTCATAACAGACTTAATATGTTACTTTCCGTTTGCCGAAACTTGGTTAACCGTTGTAACACGAAGGAAGCAGTGTTTTCCTCAGTTTGAGCTGTCGTTTTCTTTGAGAGTCAAATACCAGTTCACGTTTCAAAGCTCTCTTTTCATTTTGTCTCCCGACAATAGAGAACAACACAGGGTTTCGCTTGACAAATGCAGTCCAAATACACAGACATATGCGCTCATGTCACGCTATTTACGTTGCGTTATCATGTCACACAGGGTGTCACGAGGTGGGATTGAAAGTAATTGTTTTCGTGTACACTTGCAATGTTTGCTACGCAGTCCTTAGTTTTTATTGAGTTGGCCATGAATTTACCTTCACTTCTCCGTAGTTTCGATATTGAACGCAGTGACGGCCGCTCCTCACTAACGTTCCATATTTCCGTGACTGGCCAGTGACTATCTCCACTACGTGTCAATCCTTACCCTACCCGTGATTGTTTGCGCCTTAACAATCGGATAAAGTGAAGAACGAGAAATATTCACTTTATTAAAAATATTTTCAGTACGCATACCCTTGAAATTCATCAAAAGTTGTACATGTGTGCGAGTTTCAGCGTCAGTTTTTAGCATGTAAACCATATCGACGTTTATTCTGGATATCGCAGCCCCTTTATTACGTCATCACGTAATTGGAATTGGCCCTATAATTCGGTCGTGAATAAGTCAATGTCACCCCCACCACCAATAACATAATTATGTCATTGATTCCTTTAATTTCAGTTAAAATCAATGTCATACACGGCTCAACTTGTGTGCAGTAGCACAATTTTGCATTCAGACAATGAGGGACAAAAGTGTTGACACACTTCCGTAAAATGGCCCCTTTTTGCATAGTGGATATACTTATCCCCTTCCCCTGTCTTCCCCAACCCCTTCCCCCCAAAATCAATGTTGAATTTTGGACCCTCAAGTCTTTTTTTTACTTCAGACAACATTGATTCGGGGGGTCGGGGGATTTACGGCGTTTAAAAGGAATGAAATAATAAATGAATTAAATGTTTGTTAAAAGCACCCGTTTTAAACAAGTGTGTCAACTACTTTTGTCCCTGATTGTCTGAAATATGTATCTGTGTTTTCCGGCTAGATTTCGGACGCTGCTGAATTTTTGTGCGATGACGTTACTCTATGGACCAAATTGTTTGTTTATAAACAACAATTTGAAAAGTTTGGTCCTGATTTGTAGTATACGTAGAGTAAAATGTACGAAGCGTATGTCATTACTTAATCTTGTACTCCCGCGCGTTCCTGATACCCTGTCGGGTCGAGAGGAAATCATTAGTGTTGTGATCAATGCCGCTGCTGCAGATATCATTTTTTTTACAAGCATTATCAATAGTGGAAAAAGGATGGAAACACTAAGGTACAATGAAAATTGTTCTGGTAAATGGTTAACTGAAGCGAATGAAGTACTGCAACATGCATTATTGTTTACATTGACTTTTGCCATTAGTGAAAGGACGTGAACAATATACAGGTTATGAACCTCATAAATGATGAGCCAGTCGTTTGTGCTATGCCCTATAAATAGATGATTTTTTTGGGGAGACCTTTTCAAATCTAGCAGATCCAAACCTTTAGCGTGTGTAGGCGTCGAACAGGTTAGACCAGGTTAGGAATGTACTTTTGTAATGATTTTAGATGACCGCCTGCCATTTATTCAGTGGCATTTTTTTTATTGGTGTTGGGTGGACAACTATTTCATTTCCCAGCTCGTAAATCACAGAATACCAAAGAAATTGTTTTCAAGATAGACACACCAGTTTGTATCATCGCCAAAACAGCAATTACTTTGGCCCAGAAGTTCACTTGATGACAAGGAAAGCGGGATAACACGTGATCGATGACGGCCGTGCTCTGGAAAATCTTGCTTTTTTATGCGCTAATTCCTCACAAAAGGCAAAAGAAGATTCCGCTATGTAGAAAGTGCTTCGCAATACGTATTCTTGGCGAGAAAAATTCCAGCGATGTGGTGCAAATAAGGAGTTTCAACGGTTAACCACGAGAATACATATCGACATTAAGAGGTCATAACAGACTTAATATGTTACTTTCCGTTTGCCGAAACTTGGTTAACCGTTGTAACACGAAGGAAGCAGTGTTTTCCTCAGTTTGAGCTGTCGTTTTCTTTGAGAGTCAAATACCAGTTCACGTTTCAAAGCTCTCTTTTCATTTTGTCTCCCGACAATAGAGAACAACACAGGGTTTCGCTTGACAAATGCAGTCCAAATACACAGACATATGCGCTCATGTCACGCTATTTACGTTGCGTTATCATGTCACACAGGGTGTCACGAGGTGGGATTGAAAGTAATTGTTTTCGTGTACACTTGCAATGTTTGCTACGCAGTCCTTAGTTTTTTATTGAGTTGGCCATGAATTTACCTTCACTTCTCCGTAGTTTCGATATTGAACGCAGTGACGGCCGCTCCTCACTAACGTTCCATATTTCCGTGACTGGCCAGTGACTATCTCCACTACGTGTCAATCCTTACCCTACCCGTGATTGTTTGCGCCTTAACAATCGGATAAAGTGAAGAACGAGAAATATTCACTTTATTAAAAATATTTTCAGTACGCATACCCTTGAAATTCATCAAAAGTTGTACATGTGTGCGAGTTTCAGCGTCAGTTTTTAGCATGTAAACCATATCGACGTTTATTCTGGATATCGCAGCCCCTTTATTACGTCATCACGTAATTGGAATTGGCCCTATAATTCGGTCGTGAATAAGTCAATGTCACCCCCACCACCAATAACATAATTATGTCATTGATTCCTTTAATTTCAGTTAAAATCAATGTCATACACGGCTCAACTTGTGTGCAGTAGCACAATTTTGCATTCAGACAATGAGGGACAAAAGTGTTGACACACTTCCGTAAAATGGCCCCTTTTTGCATAGTGGATATACTTATCCCCTTCCCCTGTCTTCCCCAACCCCTTCCCCCCAAAATCAATGTTGAATTTTGGACCCTCAAGTCTTTTTTTTACTTCAGACAACATTGATTCGGGGGGTCGGGGGATTTACGGCGTTTAAAAGGAATGAAATAATAAATGAATTAAATGTTTGTTAAAAGCACCCGTTTTAAACAAGTGTGTCAACTACTTTTGTCCCTGATTGATCGTTAGGTTTTGTTCTTTGAGAGGTGCAAACAAAGGGGGCGGAGAAGGCGACGACGTGTTGAGAGAAATTTTGAATGTGTGTGTCCCAGGCCATCAACAAAGCAGTGAGTACCCCAAGCATGTTTTGCTCAACTGGTGCAGGCAGCTTGAATACGAATTAGTCCTTATTGTTGATAATGCGGAAGATGCTATAGACAATCGAGGCCACTATCCATTTCTGAACGTGTTGAGTGATATGAGGAAGTGCTCAGACTGTCAAATTAAGTTCCTGATAACCTCAAGAGGCTCGGAAATTGAAACTGTCGGAACAGTTTCAAACATTCAGCTTGTCAAAATACCCGTTGGTCCTTTAGATGTAAGGGAAGGTATCGAAGTTCTAAAGGACAGTGCTAATTTGCCGCTTGAGACTGCGCCTGACATTGAAGTCAAATTGCACAAAATAGCTGAACTATGCGAAAACATTCCACTTGCACTCCGATTAGCTGGTCCTCTCCTTGCAGAAGAATCTGAGTATTCTTTTGACGGACTCATACAAGAGCTTGAAAGGAACGCAACGAAAACCCTCGACCTTGAGCCTATGATGGAAATAGCTTTCAAAAAGCTAGACGAGTCTCTGCAACACGCATTAGTTTGTTTGTCCGTGTTTCCTCGATCTTTTGCAAGAGATGCTGCCGAGGCGTTACTAGGCAAAGTTAACTGTGCCCAGCACCTAACAAAGTTAAAGAAAAGGTGCTGGATCCAGAAACAGGGCAACCGATACCTCATTCATTTACTGATTAGAGGGTACGCCAGGCAAATCGGAGAAAGGGAAGAGTTCCGCCAAATTCTAGCTCTTGGCCAGCAGAGGTTTACTGAGCACTTTTTGACACATATTTTAAAAAATACCGACAAGTATTGGGGAAAAGACAAGTGCAAGGAATCCTTCCGTCTTTTCAACGAGGAGAGGATCAATCTGGAAGCCACTCTTAGAGTTGTGGGCCAACAGAAAATACGCAGCTTTGGGGCATGTAAAGAACTGGAAGCTTTGGTGGTGCAGTGTCACCAAGTAGCACAATACATAGAATACTGTGTCCCTTTTAAGATTTATTATGACTTTCTTGTGGGCCTGCTTCATTTTTCTCGAGTCCAAGAGAAAATTAATAAAGAGGTAGAGATTTTGTGCCTCCTTTTTCATGAATCAAGAAAACATGGTAAAGGTGATATGCAGAAATCAAAAGATCTCATTGAACAAGCTATCCAACTGCACGATGGAAAGCTCCCATGTTTTGATGAAGAGGGCTTGTCTGAAGTTTTTTATTTGATCCACTATGGTAGATACCTCTCACAGGACTGTCACGAAAGGGAGAGGTCACAGCGTTATCTTGAAAAGGCAATTTCAATTTATGAAAAGGACGCTGCGAAGCATTTGGAACATAACTTCACATTTGATAAGGGCAAAATTCTTTCTCAAATGGGACATAACGCGAAACTTCACAAAGATGGAGTAAAGCGCGAAGCCGCTGTGAGATACTATAGTGAAGCCTTAAGTTTTCGACTTATGCATTATGGAAAGCATCTTTTAACAGCGTTTTCATACAAAGAAATGGGTGATTACTTTTTGTTTCTTGAGGAACTGGGCAAGGCAGATGAAAACTACAAGAAAGCACTTGCTGTTTTGGAAGACATGGATGTAAAGGAACAGAAAGAGATAGTTCCCATCTATAAAAACTTTGGAATCTGCTGCCGGAAGAGAAAAGACTTTGTCCGATCTAGAGAAATGTTCCAGCTGGGAAGTTCTGTTGCCGATAACACCATAGAGGGAAACCACAAATGGAAAGTTTGGATCAAGACTCAACTAGCGTTGCTTCTGTATAGAGAATATCCAGAAGAAGAAAGTGAGGCCCGCATAATTTCTGCAGAAGTTTTTCAAATGGGTAAGGAACTTGGAATGAAGAAATGGCCTAAAAAGGAGACACTTGAAACGTTTTACAAGAATCATCAGGAACATGATAAACCCCACCTATAGACTACTTAACAATTAGACCCGTGGCCCTTTGAGGGCGAAGGATCTAATTGTTTTAGTATCACCCAACTAGTCGGACAGAAAAGGCAATAATAAAGTTAGCAAATGCAAGTTGAAGAAATATTTATTTGGGAATAAAACCAAAGAAAGCTTCACGCTCGATTTCGCCAAATTTGCATAAATTTACATAACTGTCAAGTTTTTAAACACGTGATACAAACGCGTAGCTTGTGAAAATTCATTCACTGATTCATTCAGATGTGAAGTTGGTGAAAATCCAACCAAAACTGTTCATAGAAAAAAAATCTTGAAGATAGTGCACTGACCTACAATACTTTTATGAACTGCAAGGAAAGCTAAAGATTAAATTGGCGATTGATAATTGGGCCAAGTTTTAAACAGTTTGTTGATTTTTAGTTCATCGAAACGTAGTTGTTGTATTGTTTACGATGGAAACAGAGGAGCAATGAAAGCTGAACGACTGCGGCATTTGCATTTGCACTGCTGACTGTTGATTCTTTGGAGCCACAGAAAGAGTGCTTGCTCCAGTAAGCTCTTTCGTTGTTGAAGCACCCTCGAGTACAAGAACTCGTGGTTCTGCGGAGTCACCAGAGATGAAGCCACCCAATATGTTGGACATGTTCCCTTTCTGCTGAAAGGAAGCCCTGGAACAGTAAGATTCAATGGAGTTGTCTGATTTGTGTCCAGCACTGACAGTCTTAATATGCTTGGCTTCAATGTTGTGATCTGAGAGCACTGTAACTGATGTAGATCGGACGCAGCGGTTAGTTAGATGAGGAGCTATCCCGGCAGATGTTGACATGTTTTTCATCATGTTTTCGAGTGTGCTTTAGCCGACGGGGAAATTTCAGTACCACACTTCATCTTTGGAACTTTGTTGACACTTCTCTTGGTCGTTGAAACAGAGCTTGCAGGTTGGGAGAATTAGAGACAACCGTCAAAAAGTCAACGGATAGTTATACCAAAGCTTCAGCCCTCCCTTTACGAACTATTCTTGAAGTTCATTCAAGACGGTACGTGTTTTTTGCTGTCTGTCTTGTGAATATCGGCATTGCAGAATTGCATATGTCTGCAATCGCCGCTCAGTGTGTACAAATCCTGTATAAAAAACTTCCTGAGCATCTCTGCCTGTTAAACCAGCTATTACAGTTGGTTCTAGTTCGGGTTTTAACATGAAGTTACTACATGATTGCAGTAATTTTGATCTTCCGAATCTTATACCAGTAGAACACAGATGAGAACACACTTCCTTGATGCCTTCATCATGTTTGTCTGTCACTAATACACACCATGATACACGCCGGCGTCCGCAGAAATGAACAAATTAGGGGGTTCTTATAGGAGGCGTCTTTTACCCTCTTTCTCCAATCTTTTTCCCTTTTTCCCTTCCTCCCTATCCCCTACCCCTTTCAACACCTGCTACGTTGGCTACTAACCATTAGACTCAGTTTTCCTTTACGCAGAACTAGGAAGGGGTGGTGGTTGAGGTTGTGTGATATGCACCGCGTGCCGGGAACTAGTACGATGTAAAAATCCTCGCCACTCGTACAAATGAATTTCTTGTGTTGTGCGCTAGTTTTTACTTTTTTAGCACGCACATGCATGTTCATTATTTATCAAGCCAGGCAGGTCGCTAGGAATTCGATTCTGAACTGTCAATTGGCAAACGTTGCACGTTGACCACATCTGGGACTGTTGCTTGTAGAATAGGCTCAAAATGTCCAGATAGCAATAAACATTTTCAATTTTGGGAGCGAGGGATGGCGCAGTGGTGAGAGCGCTCGCCTCCCACCAATGTAGCCCGGTTCAAATCTCGGCGTCGACGCCATATGTGGGTTGAGTTTGTTGTTGGTTCTCTCCTTTTTTCCGAGAGGTTTTTCTCCGGTAGCCTGAGATCATGCGCTCTCCCTATTATCCCCTTAAGTCTCTCACGGGAAGAGGGCATGATACATTTCTTTGTCGGATCACATGTAAAAAAGCCAGAATCTGGACTTTTTTCTGATTGGATAGGAAACAATACGGATGATTTGCGCTTTTCAAATTGGCCAAAATGCCGCCACCCGTCAGTTGTTGTTGATTTCAGTCTGCAGTTTTCCTTGCGTGATGAGCAGTGAATACACACGCGAGCTCGTTATAAAATTTCTGCCAGCTCAATTTTCTTGAATTTGAAGAATGCCTAAATAGAAATCTCATCCATTGAAATATTTTCCATCTCATCGTATACTAAAAAGTTGCAGTCAAAAATTCACGGATCATTTGAATGCAATTAGATACCGGCTACAAGTTACCGGGAAGCGACAAACGGGTTCACTTTTAAAATAATCAATTCATGAATGGAATCTTGACCTGGTTTGACTGTAATTCCTCATTTAGAAACCTGCGAATTATTCTGAGCGATCTTCGCTTTCACAACACCTTTCAGTTCGTAAAATATGCAGTGCATCAGCTAATTTTTTTTTCACTGCTTTCGGCACAGAAAGAAGTCAACGAGCTTTAACCTGTAATTTTTTTATTATTTGTAGCTGTTAAATAAAGGTACGGCAGCTCCAGCTAGCCGTATTTCATCACAAAAAGAACACATTTAAATTTTTTTTTAGAAAGCGCCATCTGAACATGGACATACTTAAAAATTTTCTTTTCACTAAAATTGATTTCAAAAGATTATTCGCACCAAAATTTGATTCCCGTATGGTAAACGCTTATTGGCTAATAACATGACAGGCAAAGCAGACGTTACATTATGTAAATTAGGGGGCGGTTAACGGATTGTTAAATGAATGTATCAGGCCTTAATTTTTTCCCTCTCGAGCAAAAGAAACAAAGAAGCAAAAAAAATAACGCCTGATCTCAGGTTGTTTCTCCGGGTTCTCCGGTTTTCCCCTCTTCTCAAAAACCAACATTTCCAAATTCCAATTTGATCAGGAATCGGGTAGACGAAGAACCACTTTGTGGATGTGCTACCTCCAAGACAAGGTCATTTGCCGAGCGAATGCCGAACTTCGGTGTTTTTGCTTAGGTTAAAGTTTCGTAGAAGATTCTTTTTCTGTCTATTGAGAAAAATAGCGAGATAGCTCTGATGCAAGACTTGCATCCTCTTTGGATGCTCTTCAAAAAAGCTCAGGTAGAGGAAAGTAAACAAGACACTTAGTCTTCAAAAGCGGAGACGACTTGCTAGAAATGGTTCAGTTTCAAAAGTGCAATTCAGATAAGCTTAAGGTTTTAATATTCGCACATAGTTGAATTTAAAGTTGAAAAAGTGAGAAAACAATTCTGAAAGTCTAGCGTATTAAAAATAAACACATTAATTAGTAGTTTACCTTTGAAAAGTACTGACTGTTCTTCTCATCCTTTTTTCCGAAAGCAAAGCAAACGTTTTGTAAAAAGATCTACAAACTTCATGAAACTTTCTAAGTACCTGGTAAGTTGAATTGAAGACTACATGCCTGTAAAAACCCACCTTTCGGTTATTTGATTGTACGCAGCCCATATAGCCGAACGGTGTTAAGGACAACAAACAAGACAAGAACCTAATTTCTTTTCGCACTGATCGGTTAGCAACTCTTAAAAACTGCCAGGCTAGTTTGCTCGACATACAGCTCAACCGTACATCGCTTCGACTTGTTCAGTTACTTTAACGGCTCCAAAATCTTTCCTTGGAATAATATTTAACCTTGGGCTAGTTTACGACTTTATACTGCCCTAAAATGCCTCCATTTTTTAAGACAATAAACATCGCTGATCTTATTCTTGTTCTGAGGTTTGGAAATTAATTTAATTCCTAATTTATGCCGGGTAGTGGTGTGACTCGACCTGTCAGGTTTTTACCCAATGAAACTCCGTTACTTGTCTTCAGTAACCAGTCACCAAGCGAGAAACGTTATTGACGATAAAATTGGGTTATTGATGATAAAATGACATCATAAGATTGTCAAAGTTTGTTGTGGATCCATTCGCCTGCGGCTCGTGGATCCACAACACTTTGACAATTTTATGACGTCATTTTATCATCAATAAGAGGACGGACGATAAAAAAACTCGGGGCAATTTGTTTAGTGAAAATGATGTCAATATATATATATATATATATATATATATCCAAATGCAAAACATGTTTTCGCAGCTTACAAAATATATGTCCAAGTCGATATATGGGGTTCTCGATTTATATTGCCTCATTTTAATGTAATTTTCAACATTTATATTGCGGATGAGGTTTCGCTATATATATATATATATATATATATATATATATATATATATATATATATATATATATATATATATAATTAACAATTATTCCACGAGGGCGCGTTGGATATGAGATCATAGATAGCCAACGAGGCGCGTAGTATGGTCGGCCATTTGTTTCAAAATTATGACACGATATACATGCGGTTTTTTCCCACGTATACTTGCAATCATTCCTGCTACACGATATACGTGCGTTTTTTTGTCACGTATACTTGCGTTTTATTCCCAAGTATGTGACCATTTTCTTACAAACGCGCATATATATGCGCACAAAAAACCCCATATATATGCGTTACAAATAAGCATGTGGTATATGCGGTCGCAGAAAGTGGTCGTGTAAGAGGCACCCAATTATACCGTCAGCAAAAAACCCCTTCATGTACGATGGAGCTGAAAAGTAACTTCAGTTTGAATCAAGCATGGCTGCAATGCCCGCGTTAATTTTGAGCAAGATTTGGTTCTTATTCATTGTCCTCACAGCAGTGGTGGTTGTTGGCTCCCCGACAACGGATTTGTTGGAATCCGTGGATTGTCTCTTGAGAGACTGTGTACGCTATTTCACAAATGCTGACCGAAACAACGATCGATTTAGTTAGAAATTAGCGTCCGACAGGCAAAGCACAACTCATAAGCTCTTGATGTAAAGTGAAACATGACCTTGAGACCTTTCTTCTTTTCTCTCTCGCACGCGAATTATCATCTTTTCGCCTCCACGAACACATTCTAAGCCTCCTAGTCTCGAAGCTTTTTATTATTTCCCTGGTATTCTCACTGACTGTGCAGGCCCGTAGCAGGCATAAAATGACTGGGGGGGGGGGGCTGAGCGAGTGGCCCAAATTAACTCCCCCCCGCCCCCGCCGCTTTGCTCCCTCGGTTAAAGCATACTTCTTGGTACATGTCAGATCACTACATTTGTCTACAACACCTTTTGTTGTTGTCTCTAATTTTCCGTTTGTGTTGACTTTGACGAAATAGAGAACTTGCTTGGGATATTGTTCGCGGAAAATTTGCCAAACAATTGCTTTCGGTTTTCTTTCTCCCCAACGAAGTCATTAGCTACGTCTACAAGGGTTAGAGCATCTGTTCTGTCCTTGTGAACATGCAACATCATGAGGTGGTTCAGGTGGGATTGTCATCGGTGCATTTCGATCCATTTTGCATCTGACTATTTTGATGCTTAATAAGCAGATATTTTAAAGCTGTTGGTTGTTTTTGGCAGAGCAAAAATACGATTTCGTTCATTTACACAATTCCAAATTGCACAGAACAACAACAGTACATAGTCTTACTATGATCGTCAATACTTTGAAATTTTAGCTTCCATTGACAGCTGTTCATTTTAGTAGAAAAATTCCACTTTTGTAGCAGAATTTAATTCAAGTCTGAAAATTTCTGGGGGGGGCTCGAGCCCCCCCTGCCCCTCCCCCCTGCTACGGGCCTGCTGTAATAGCCTTCTACCTGCCTCTCTTTCCTTAGTGCTCGTCCACCTTAATTGTGATTTTCGTGGTTAACTAACTCGTTCTCGTTCAACTTGCATAAAATGTCCCTCAGCAATTTGCTACT